TTCTCAAATATGCTCATTCATTCAACAAATATATTTCAAGAAGGAAAAAATCCATTAAAAATGTAGAAACTGGTCTAGAGGCTGAGGATACAGCTGTAAACAAAATGTATAGGCTTTCATGAGGCCTCCATTTGGGGGAGGGGAAAGGAGACAAGAAATAAACATAGTATCAGCTCTCCAGCAAAAAAAAGTGTTTCACACAGAGAAAACAAGAGTGAGTTCAGCATGTTTAAATAGAAAGAAGGATGGTACACAGTTGTGGCGAAAGGGGAGTAGTGCAAGATAAAAATGTTTGATGATATCAACAAAATTTTATATTATGTTTATATTATTTCCCCCACAAATCTTGGACTAAAGGTAAACACAGCTGCATCATTTCAATACTACCAAACCATTTACAGATGTAAATTAAGGCTGGACCAATACAGCTACCTCAAAAGAACGCAATTATCTAGCTAATTGAGGACAAGGACATAACTAATCTAAATAATTGGACCCAAAAGGATTATATTAACTCCCTGGGGTACACTGACAAAATAGGGTAAATAATTATCAAGCTCCTTCCCCTCTGACTATTGTTACATAAACAGCAGGAAAACTATTATGGAAACATTCTCACAATAAATTGCCTGCAAAGTTAAGATCAGTTGCCAGTTACATATCTCTGGCAGAAAAAATTCAACTAACCAATTTAACCAAATATCATGAGCTGAATATGTCTGAGATAACTCCCACTGCAAATAATATCTACAGCCTTTAGCCTGCATTAAAATAGGCTACTGTAGATATGGGGAACTATCAAACTTTTAAGGGATTTTCTGGTTTACATAAAAAGGAATTTCTGATTTATATTACAAAGACTTGCTTCATAGTCTGTATGTATGTGACCATATAAAAGGGAATGACTGACCTGCTGTGCATCATTAACTCAGAATGCAAGGTTGGTGATTTCTCTGCCTAGTCAGGAGATATGCTCGGGGGAAAAACAAGCGAGTAGAGAATCTGACTGCAGAGAAAGAGCAAGAGTGAGCGAGAGTGCAAAAGCTCCCTGCCTTATAACAAATGTGACTTTAAAATGAACTATTAAATCCAGATGTTTCTCTATAATTTGGGGTCTAGACTCTAGACTGTGCAGAAAAACACTGCTGCATTCTTTATGTAGTTGTATGTTGGGAAAAATCAAATTCCTACCTTGAGAGAGTGATCATATCAAAATGTGAAAGTAGAGAGCTTTTGTGTACTCAAAATGCCTCTCACAATTCCATCTAGGTCGACAGCTCAACTCCTCTAGGAGGACTTCTCTGATTAAACTGTGTCATTCAACATCTCCTGAAAACTTGGAGGTCCAGATTATATTCTATTATCCACTGCTTTGCAGTGATTCTCAATTGCTTAATCTTCCTACCTAGACTACCAATTTCTCAAGAGCAACAAAGTTTGACTTCATTCTACAAACATCCGCTGCTGACCGCCCCAGCGTTGCCCTAGAAGTTCACAGCAGAGGAGGTCCCACGTACGGGTGGACGATGTGTAAGCTTACAGTTATTAATAGAAACATACTCTAGGGGCAAGTCTACCCAGAATTATCAAGGGGCCGATCCATCTCACTTCTCCTTATGGCCACTTGACCCTCTTACTCCATACCAGTTTATCCACGCATCAGGCATACGGAACCCACTTTACTCAAGTACATTACTGCATATCAATCTGTCATGTTAACCAAGTCCCCCAGACAAAAGCCAAGAGAGGCAGCTGTCCTGATATCTCAGGGAAAGGGGAAACAATTATCTGGTTTACCTGAATAACTCAAGAAGTAAAACAGGGCTTAGAATGGAGATTTCAGATTTAGGGGTATTTATAATAATATATTAATGCATGAAAAAAGATGTGCCATGTTCTCATAGAAAAATATTCAAGGAAAACCACTTTGCCTTCAAAATGGTGATGATAATATTATTATGTAGTAATAATTACAGTTTACAGAGTGCTTTCACATTATTTTTGAGTTTCACATAACACTTATGAAACAAGATACACCCAATTATTCCCATTATATAAACAAAGAAACCAAAGTTTAAAAAAAGTAACATGAAACACCCACAATAATGCAATCAGCCCAGCACCAAACCTAAGCTTAAGCTCACTGTCCAGACTCTTAAGTTCAGCACCCTTTCCACAATCTCTTTGGACATTTTTTTTCTGAAAAGTTGAAGTATGGCTACTGAATTCTAAGACTCCTAGGACATATCGGAAGTTGTGCACTGTAAATAGCTAGAAGAGAAGGACAACATCTCTTTAACATGTTTCGTATTGCTCAGGTTCAGTCCTCCAAGTGTGCAGCTTGGTCAACAGTGTAATTGACATGGATGCCCAAGCTCAGGGTTGGAAGAGATTTTCAGTTCCTTTGCATGGTGGTTTATTTTTCTTTACATCTCTCATCCTGATATATTTCCTCTCTGAACCTAAACTCCTACCACCAACTGACAACATTTCAAAATAACAATGACCAAATCCCAAAGTCAGCTAGGTGGACTCGCAGGCAGGGAAATGTTTGGGAATGGCTTCTCCAAGACAACAGCAGATCCATCAAAGAGGTGATGCAATAACTCCCTGCTCATCATGTTGTCTCCTGCATGATTTGAGTCTGCATTCACTATCCTTCTCTCCTCTGAACAAAAAGTAATTTTTGGCCAAGAACACGCTGGAGGAGAGAATAGCATGCTCTCACATGCACTGTCCCTCACAAACAAAAGTGAGACTGCTCCTCAAACTACTCTTTCAGTAGTTTTTTTTTTTTCAGTATGACTTCCCTTTAGGTGATAAGGGATGTGCTCCCAGAGGGAAAAAAAAAGTCAATCAAATATTCATAAAGAGAATCGTATTTCTCCAAGAAATCATATTTTCCCCCAAATTTGATTTTCACATTAACATTTTAGAGCTAGCTCATCATACCTTACTATCTTTCTATTATTATTATTATTATTATTTTAGATGGAGCAGAGTTTCACTCTTGTTGCCCAGGCTGGAGGGCAATGGTGTGATCTGGGCTCACTGCAACCTCCACCTCCCAGGTTCAAGCAATTCTCGTGCCTCAGCCTCCCAAGTAGCTGGGATTACAGGCAGGGGCCACCACACCCGGCTAATTTTGTATTTTTAGTAGAGACTGGGTTTCACCATGTTGGTCAGGCTGGTCTCGAATTCCTGACCTCAGGTGATCCACCCACCCCGGCCTCCCAAAGCGCTGGGATTACAGAAGTCACTGCGCCTGGTCCATCATTCTGACTTTCATTTGGCAATGGTAGCCCCTCTCCATCCCTAAAACTGACAAGCAGTTCATTAATAAATCAAAATGTACATGCATGAAACTAGCCTCGTTTTAAGGGAAATCTGTTACAAATCCTTCCTACAATTTTTTTTAATGTGGATAATTTTTCTTAACCTTTTTTAAAGTAGGCTGCACATGCAGTGGATGGCATAGGGCCACAGTACCTAGTAGACTGAGGCACAATTTGAGTGCAAGGTGTAGCCTTGACACTGTTTCATACAAACGGAGCTTTCTGGCCACAGGCAGGTTTGAAGCCAGTCAGCCCTCATTAGCATAAGGCGCTAAGCTAACCTTCCCCACTGTTACATGAATCTAAAAAATTCGCTCTCCTGTGGCTCTCTGCATTATCACCAGGACAGGATTTAATTCAAGATGGTAACGGTTAACTCTAAGTCATAAACTTTTCAACAAATCGCTACCTGGGTTCATTCATATCTCTAGGACTAGAATTGCACATATGTTAGCCCTTTCTCTTGAAGCGGAATATTCCCGGTGTGTGGCAACAACGGCAGCCAAGGAGGAAACACAAACTTGGCCAAGTACTGAGCAGATTGCCACATCCGATTCTATTATGTGAAAGTCAAAATAAACTGTAAAATAAATAAATAAGTCTTGAGTCTAAAACTACATTTTTTACCGGCGTCTGGGTTAAGGGATGCGACAGGCCCAAGGTTACAAAGCCATTGCCAGGGCCTCCACAGCCGCCTACGAAATACTGCAGCCTCCGACTGCTGTTTGCATTTGCTGGTTAGGCTAGGATGTGGCATCAGATTTATTTCAATTGGAGGAGATAGGAGCTCTTTATCTAAAAGGACACTGAAATAGGTCAGCAGCTATTACTCAAAACAGATCCAGGCTACCTTAAATCCGGAGACAAAGGCAGGGTGAAATAGAAGGGTGAGTTTTGAAAAAAGTCACTTGACACAAAGCCTAGCTGGCCCGGGGAAGCTAGACCTTGCCTGCCAATCAACAAAATGAAGTGGTATAAAAAGAAGTTTCGATTTGTGTGTGTTTGTCTGTGAGTTTTTAATGAAAAGTATCTTTCATCTGTTAATAATAAAGCTCTGTCTCACATATGTAAAACATCCTTACTGCTGCAGCTTCTCAGAGGAATCCTAAGAGCAGCCCAGCCGGTCTTAGGCATCACGGCAGACACGGATTCGTTTTTGCAGCTCTGTTTCCAGTTCTCCCTAACCCCACTCCCATTCCCCGCTTTCTGCCCCACCACCACTGCCCGAAAAGTCCTGTCTCGCTCTCCTGCACTTTTCCAGGTGCAGCGCCTGGGTTCCGAGGAGCTAGGGGAGAGGCCTGGAGGAGCAAGTGTGGGAAGTGGGGGAGCGGCCGGGGGCCACGTCCGGGAATCCTCTCCCCCAGGAGGGCGCCGAGCCCCACCGGCTGCAGGGGAGCCCCGGCGGCTGCAAGGGAGCCCCCGACAGTCCTCCCCGCGCTCCCTCGGCAGAGATGCCCCGCAGGCTCGTCTGCTCCAGGCGCGACCGCCCCCGCGTGGGGGACTTGCCACCCTTTCGGTCTTTCCAGAAACCGGCGGTCTGCTCCTGTCCCGAAAAGGGGGACGGGAACAGGGGGACTGCGCGCCCCCCACCCAAGATTCCTGCACCCTTCCTTCCCGCCGCCTCTCCAGCCCGCCCCCGCCGGCCCCCGCTCCCGCCGTGCTCACCTCTGCCCGCGCCCGCGCTTGTGGCGGTGGAGTTCCCGCAGCCCATCGCGCAGCCGGCCGGGGAAGCCGCGCTCCGGGGCTTGCGGCCGCGGGTCTTGGGGGCGGAGACCCAGACGAAAGGCTGCGCGCCCCGAGCGGGAGGCTGACGGGGCAGGGAACCGAGTGGAGGCCGCCCCCTCCCACAGCCGAGGGACGCGGCCCGTGGCGCGGCGGGCTGCGGGCTGCAGGGCGGAAACCACCCGGCACCCCTCGCCCCCGCCCCGCCCCGCCAGGGGACCCGCCGGACCCACCCGTCGCCCCGGCAACCGCGCACTGGCCAATCACCAGCCTCCTGCTCGTTTCGCGGTCGGACATTGGTCGTCGTTATGAGGGGCGGGAGTTTAAAGTGGGTTCTGGGGCGAGCGCGCGGCAAGGGGCGTGGCCGGTGCGGCGAGGCGGGAGTGCCCACCTGCCCACCCTCAGCATCCTCCTTGCCTTGTTTTTGCTTTTCTTTCCTCACTTCCCCTCCCTGGCCCAGGATGTGGGGAGGAGAGGAAGTAGCAGGGGGCATCTGTTTTCCGCACAGTGGACGCCCAATAAATGCTATTGACTGAATGATGTTCAGGTCTGAAGCCAAAACCGAAATCCCCAGCTGCTTTAACAGAAGGCCAGCGCAGCTCTGTTCCCCATACGCACCGCCTGGCAAAAGACGTAAGTTCTTTCCCAGATTGGTCATATTGACCTATTCTCTTTAAAACAAATGTCTGCAATGATTTCGATAACTTGGATTCAGGACCTCCTCTCTGATAAATGAGAGAACTGTGGATGGGCACGGTGCTGTACGTTTCAACCTAGTAGTTGGGCCAGCGTTATTGGAGTCAGACTGTCTGAATTACAGTCTTCGTTCTGCCCCGTGATAGCTGTGTGACCTCAGGAAAGTAACTTAACCCACTGGGTACATCCATTGTTTCACCTATAAAATGACAAAAACTCAGGTACATATAACGTACCTAACAAAGTTCCCTATCTTCAGTAAATATCAAATATTATCATTATTATTATTATTAACTCTAATAGAAATGAATACAAATTCCTTAAAGGTAAAGATTATCTGATTTTTCATAGCGTCCTCCTGGCTCGTAATACAGACTCACTAAATGTTTTGTGAGGTGACTTCAAGCCAGGAATTAAAGCTCCATTTTAAATTCACTTAATATTTGTAAGGAGCCTAGCCTGTGCCAAGTCCTTTGTTAAGTTCCAGGGTTACAAACATGTGGGAGACAGTCTAACCAGGCAGATAGATTATAACAAATTAATTACAATATAGCAGGAATGTTAACAGAGGAATACAGCTGCCATAGAGTCCCAGAGGATGCTGGGATGCTGGTTAAAAGACTTGCCTAAGGCCAGGCACGGTGGCTTACACCTGTAAACCCAGCACTTTGGGAGGCCGAGGCAGGCAGATCATGAGGTCAGGAGTTCGAGACCAGGCTAACATGGTGAAACCCTATCTCTACTAAAAATACAAAGATTAGCCAGGTGTGGTGGCACATGCCTGTAATCCCAGCTAATTAAGAGATTGAGGCAGGAGAATCGCTTGAACCTGGGAGGTGGAGGTTGCAGTGGGCCGAGGTGGTGCCACTGCACTCTAGCCTGGGTGACAGAGCAAGACTCTGTCTCAAAAAAACAAGCAAGCAAACAAACAAACAGACTTTCCTAAAACCATACTGTTGTGTTTACATAAAAATTTGAACCAGAATCAAGGACTTGGCAGATTTTTGAACATGACCTTTGAGGCAATGGTGGGTTCTATCATTCAGGATGCAAAATATACAGCATTCTCCATTTGAAAATTAACTATGCTAGCCATGTGCTGAGAGGTTAATTAATTCTTGGATAAATAAAGGCATTTTTAGTTGCCTTCTAGAAGTACTGCTTCTCTGCCTTGGCCTGTGCTGTCTTGGTTCAGTGTCCATCTAATACAAATCCAGAATTGGGGAAAGGGGACTATCAAGTAGCCAAAAGATATACTCCTGCTTATTTCTGTGCTGACACTAGACTCCAGCCTTAGGACACTTGTAAGAGACAGAAAACGGACCTTGATACCTAGAAACTGGCCTAGAAGCTGTGATACTCAACAGCTGGACCTTTGCATTCTCCTGTTAAACACAGCTGTATAGAACACCAATATCACACAAGGCCACTCTATGAATTATGAAATGAGACCAAAAAACAAGGCCATTCAGTAATCATGTCTAAGTGCTGACAAAAACAAGGTCATTGTGCAAACCCCCAAAACACCAAACATCTCCCCATCCTGCCTGATATGATTGTCTTCTGCTGCTTTACCAGTTATGGTTTTAGCCCTGTTCTAGTCTTCCTGCCTAGAGATGAGGTTCATTAAGAATCTCTAATCATAGAATTATCCCTGCTTTCTGACAATATCCAATGTAGAAAAAAAAAAAAAAAAAAAAAAGACCTGCTTCCTTAAATCCCAACCAAAATCACCTATTATGAACCTAAATCCTATAAATTCTTTTCTAACACTCACTTACTGAGATACCTCATGGTTCCTCGTAGTGTGCATTCTGCGTTACAATGTTACAGATTATGTGATCTATCGATTATTTCAACAAGCACTATTGAGTATCACCTTAAGAGCTCCAAGCCATGAGAAATTACCTGTTGGGTACAATGTACACTGTTTGGGTGATGGTTACACTAAAAGCCCAGACTTCACCACAACCCAATATACCTGTGTAGCAAAAATGCACTTGTACCCCCAATCTATTTATAAGTGCCAGCCACTCTTCTAAATGTTTGAGAGACAGCAGTGAACAAGACAGAGAGGAAAAATCAAGTGGGAGGAGATACATCAAAACAAATACAATGAGATAATTTTAGATACAAGTGCAATGGGAAAAAAATAAGTCACTGGAATAGGAGACCGGGGTAGAGGGAGAGGTGCTATTCTAGATATAAGGTTGGTGCAAAAGTAATCACAATTTTTGCAATTACTTTTAATGGCAAAAACTGCAATTACTTTTGCACTAACCTAATAGGACGGTCACAGAAGGCCCTCTGAAGAAAGGATATTTTTGTGGAGGTCTGGTTGATGTAAAGAAATCAGATATTGGCCGGGCGCAGTGGCTCACACGTGTAATCCCAGCACTTTGGGAGGCCAAGAATGGCGGACCACAAGGTCAGGAGATCAAGACCATCCTGGCTAACATGGTGAAACCCCGTCTCTACTAAAAATACAAAAAATTGCCAGGCGTGGTGGCAGGCGCCTGTAGTCCCAGATACTGCAGAGGCTGAGGCAGGAGAATGGCATGAACCCTGAAGGCAGAGCTTGCAGTGAGCCGAGATTGCGCCACTGCACTCCAGCCTGGGTGAAGAGTGAGACTCTGTCTCAAAAAAAAAAAAAGAAAGAAAGAAAGAAAGAAAAAAAAGAAATCAGACATGAGAAGATCCAAGGAAAGAGGATTCTAGGCAAAGAGAATGACAAGAACAGGAGCCCTGAGACAGGAATGTGCTGGGTGTGTTTCATAAACAGGAGGAGAAAAAAATAAAGCCAGAATTCAAAGGCCGATCTGTGGAGTAGAGATGGGGAGGGTGCGGATTTCAGAGAGGGAGGTCAGAACATACACCTTGGAAAGCAGTTAAAATTTTATTCAAAGGGCAAGCAAGGTCATTTGGTGAGACAGAGTATGAAAAGTTCCTAGTAAAATGTCAGGCATATAGTAAGTGCCCAATAAATGTTAGTCCTCTTCCTAATGTGGAATGAAATAGCAAGTCTATGCCCCCTTTTTCCTTTTTAGGAATTTTATAGACAACAGTTAATTGCATGTCGATGTTTTTAAAAACAACCAGTCAAAAGAAAATCATTAATACATGCCTCATTTCCTGAGTGGTCAATTTTAGCTTCTTTCCCTGTGTCAGTTAGATCACACCACTTAGCTGTTGTTTTCATTCTTCCAACCAGAACTGATCTGGCGTGAAGGAGAGAGAAGAGGTGTGTGAGTGAAATTCTTCTGACAAGAAAAAGAAAGCAAGAGGTAGGAGAATATAAACCTGAGTAAGTCTAAGTTTTCATGATTTTTCTTCCTATAAAGGGCTCCCTACAAAAAGTTTGGCAGCCTAGATTTTCTTTTTGCTTTTCTCTTTTTCCTTGTTGACATGCTGCTGGATGGCTGCCTCAGCACCCGGTAGGAAGTTCATACATAACCATACCCACCAAGAGAAAAGAGAAAAAAGGCTCTTCCCCACACTCTGTCACTTTAAAAAAAAAAAAAAAACGGAGTTTCGCTCTTGTTACCCAAGCAGGCTGGAGTGCAGTGGCGGGATCTCGGCTTACTGCAACCTCTGCCTCCCGGTTTCAAGAGATTCTCCTGCCTCAGCCTCTCCAGTAGCTGGGATTACAGGTACGTGCCACGCCCGGCTAATTTTGTATTTTTAGTAGAGATGGGGTTTCACCATGTTGGCCAGGGTGGTCTTGAACTCCTGACCTCAGGTGATCCGCTTGCCTCGGCCTCCTAAAGTGCTGGGATTACAGGCGTCAGCCATTGTGCCCGGCCTGTGTCACTTTTAAATCCAGGTGGCACCCAGAACACTTCCTCTCCCACTGCATTAACCAAGATTTCATTGGCCTTTTCTTGATCCAGTTACTGGAAATTGGTTATAATTGGCTCTAGTGAGTTACGGTTTACCCCAGAGTCATGATAGAAGTGCAGGATAGACACCTGAAAAAATTGGGGCTCTGCTGGCAAGAAAAGGAGGGTAACGAATAACTGTTTAATCATTAGTTGTGTATCCAAAGTTGTCAGAATCAAAATGGAATCACTTTATTAAAACCCTGACAAACAGAGGCTGGGAAGACCATGAAGGAAATGTTCCCACGTACTTATGGCTGATTACAAAAACAACTAGAAAAGAATGCAAAACTCACAATCTTTTTTTTTTTTTTTTCCTGAGATAGAGTTTCATTCTTCTTGCCCAGGCTGGAGTGCAATGGCGCGATCTCACCTCACTGCAACCTCTGCCTCCTGGGTTCAAGAGATTCTCCTGCCTCAGCCTCCCGAGTAGCTGGGATCACAGGCGTGTGCCACCATGCCCAGCTAATTTTTGTATTTTTAGCAGAGACGGGGTTTCGCCATGTTATTCAGGCTGGGCTCCAACTCCTGACCTCAGGTGATCTGCCCACCTTAGCCTCCCAAAGTGCTGGGATTACAGGCGTGAGCCACTGCACCTGACCAAAACTCACAATCTTGCACAAAGGGTACTGCAGCCTTATACAAAAAAATATATA